GCAAAGTAAGTGTATTTTCATTTATATATTTTTTAGCCTATACTAGCACATTAGCCCATACTGAGACACAGCCAAGATGGTAAAATGCTACTTCAATGAAATGGACAAAAATATTGTGGCTCACAAGGTGGTTTGATTTTTGTTGAGAGGACAAAATGGCTCTTCTTAACATTTGGGTTACTGACCCACGCCCTATGTTCTGTGGTTGAACAGCAGGTTTAGGCAACACATGATGACTGTTTGTGCTGTGATGCTTTGGTGAGACCACGTTCCATTCATTCAGAAACAAGCTGGTACCCCAAAGTCCCTTCACAGAGAGAGAGAGTGGTTCTGTCAAAACTGACAGCACAGTACACTTTCAGAATAGATATTGTGATAGTGCTCGGAATATCCAAATATCCAGAGTGCACTCTGACGCTAAGACCAAATTTTCAAGTACAGCCCCATTTGACCCACTCTCGCAGTCAAGTCCAGCTAATCTTCTGCACATGCCCAACTCAATCTGCCTCATACTATGACCTATTGAGTCACCACCACTCAGATTAATAAAAAATATTATGTAGTAGCTTGTGCCGGAGGCCCGCATGACAAGCTTTGAATAAATCATCTTTGCTGAGTCGCTGTAAGGTAGGAGCAAATGTTACGCTTGGGTATGTGGTCCTTTGCAGTACTTTCAGTCCTTTTTAAAACATCAAGCACGTTCGCTAACAAGTCTGATGGACATTACCAGTCAAAAATTTGTACACACCTACTCCTAGAAGTGTTGTGCTTAGGCTAACTTCACTATTGCTCACATTTTGGAATACTAATGAAAATATCCAAACTACTAAGATACATGTGTGGACCAAAAGAAGCATTAAAGAGATCAACACTATATTCTATTCTAGATTTTTTAAAGCAGCCCTCCTTTGCATTAATGCACCTTTGCACACTTTTGGCATTCTCCTAAGCAACTTCATGAAGAGCCGCCTGAGATGCTTTTCCAACTTGAAGACGTTCCAGTCATGCTGAGCACTTGCTGGCTGCTGAAAACTATTTGTTGTGAGGCGAATAAACAAAAACGTAATTGTTTTGGAAATAAAGTCATCCACAGGCTTTAACATTTAATTGGCACTTTTAAGTACAAGCTTTTAAATCAAAATATTCTAAGATTATGATAAACATACATATAATCATGTATAAATATGAACACTTCCTTCTGTCTTTCTCATTCATAGAAACATACACTCAGACATACTCATGCATGCATGCCTACATCCACGCACTAGTTTAAAATCAGTGACTTCTCACTGTGAGTCAAAGCACGACATAATAGCCAACAAAGGCAGCTAACAAAAGGCCATGGTCTCATTTACAGACAAGGTTGTAAAAAGGTAGAGGCTCAGGTTAAGCACCATGTTGTCATTCCTCTGTTAGAACCGTCATTTTAACATAATTCAGTGGGCAGGTGTGCTGTGAGAACTTTGCCCATGATTATAGGGGGTCAAAGCAGCAGTCAAGCCCCATTTACCACATAAGAAAGAAACTATTCTCTCTCTTAGCAATCTAAAGGGGATTTTTTTTTCAAAATGTATTCATAGTTTGTTTTGTTATGAAATGGTGCATTGTGGAGAAACATACAGTCTCAGATTTCTTTGCAGTGGTGGTTATATGAACCAGGGGAGCAATGTCTATATTACAAAAATAGCCATTTTATTTACTATTAAAAATGCCTAGTATAGCTACACATTTCTTCTGAGCTTTTATATGTAATGTTGATAATGGTAAAATAGTGTAAATCTGAAAAAAATACATTTTCTTGGGGACTATTTTGCCTTAAAATGCCCTAGAGAAGGACATTTTAAGCCTAATCCTTATCTCAAAACTATCATAAAACAATGTCTCAAAATTCAGGCAGTGTACTAGTAACCATTTTGTGTGGTAGCTGTCTGTGAGGGAGCTTTTAGAGGCATTAAACGCATCAGACATCTGGTTCCTATCACCACTACTGTGAACAATTCTGGCTCTAGAACAGAGCATTTCACATCACACCACTCTGAATGACTGTTTACATCTTGACCATTTCATAATGCACAAACTTTGAACAATTAGTGGAATTCCCCTTTAATATACTGGTTTATGGCTTTATAATAGCACATGGTTTTGTGTCTGCTTTGTCTTTAGCAAGACCATCACCATTAGTCAGTGATGTTATGAAGGATGACTTTGTAGTGCTGGCATACAAAACAAGCAGCAAGCAAGAGACGCAGTGATGCAAATAGGCCTATGTTCTGAGAAAAAGAAGAAAGAGTTTTATTAATAATTGCAGTTCCCTTGAAGTAGGCTGCAATTTAATGTGTAAAGCTGGGGTTGTTTAGAAATGTAACAGTGCTATACTCCAGCTTCTCAGCTCTCTGCTGTAGCTATGAGTCAGAGAAATCTCTGATATGGAAAAATAGTGACTAAAGCACAGCCCAGTTTTGTGAATGAAACACTTCACCGCCCCCCCTTACACACACACTTCCTTCAGGGCCTGTGGAGTGCTGACCTCAGCATGTTCCTAACACTTAGATTGCTTCTGTTGCACCCAAAACCTTCTGAATGAACCGCAACTGGTTTGCTAGTTGTGACTAGCCAGCATGAAACCTGTTTGGTGAAAAATGCATACCTTTAAAGGAGTGATGCTTTGAATTTGCTTCGTTGTGTAGGTACAGGTTACGCTGAGGATTACAGAGTGTGTCCCCACTGCTTTTTAAACTGATCCTTTTTGTCCCCAAGGCTGTCTGTTAAAAACCTTTTATATATTAGCTTGCTGCAGACACCTATCCAAGCACTTTCTAAAAGCATGAAGAAAGATCAAGCACAGTATCTGTGGTCGTTGAAAATAAGCGAGTACGAAAAAGTAAACAAGAGCAGTGAGAACACTCATGTGTGCTGAGATAATGTAGATAGTAGCTAGACGTTATATTGTTGCTGTTGGAACAAAACAAAATAGTATTTTATAAAAGAAGCGAAAAAACAAATCCTTAGCTTTGAACATCATTTAATGTAACAAGATTTGAAGTAATTTGCAAACGAATGTTGTCATTTTCCACAGTAATTTTGGAACACTTCTACTGGTCAGTTTGTCATGATGTTTTGACAAAAAGTAAAGAACAGCTGACATTTTAACAATATACATACATACATACATATGTATCTATATGTGTATACATATGTATGTATATATGTATGTATATATTTGATATATATTCGCTGTTGTTGGAACAAAACCTTGTATCTCCAAAATGATAACTGTACAACTTGACTTTTAATGTAAGTCAGTGGAACCAGACTTTTTTCCAGGTGATTTTGGTCCATTTCTTTTGGTCAGTTCATCATGAAATTTACAGACAATGTAAAGGGCAACAGGAATTTTCAAATTATGTTAAGAACTGAAAAACTGACAAAAATGGAGATGTGAGGTTTTCTTCTGACAGCAACAGTATATATATAGGTGAGCTTTACCTAATAACAGGTTATTAAGACAAATGTGACAGTTCAGCACAATGTGAGACATGGGATTGTTACATCTTTGGCAGCAGCATGATTAATTGTGTCATATGTGCTGAGTTTAATAGCAGACAGCTAACTAGCTTTGTTACAAGCCCTCATTTGTCACACACTTTTCAATACAAAGTTGCACCCAAGCTTTAAGCGGTATATGAACTGAAAGATAGGTTTTTAAAAGATGGTTCTTTGAGGGTTCTTTAGTAAAGGGAATGGTTGTATTTGGAACCATATAGAGCCATTTCATACTTAAATGGTTCTTTGCAAGTTGAAATGTTTCTTCAGATAGGTGGAGCAAGTGTTGTATATGGTTCTTTATTGAACCCATTTTGAAAATAGTTCTAAAGGTTCCTCAGTTGTTATGATGTCAAGCTTAACAACAGCAGAAATCTTTAATGCTACACTCACAAAAGATGCTTCTTCAAGGGTTCTTTATTAAAGACAGTGGTTCTGTATTGAACCTCGAACACCCAAAGAACCATTTGCGTGAAATGTTTTTTTCAGATTGGTGGAGCATGTGTTGTATATGGTTCTATATGGAACCTTTTTGAAAATGGTTCTATACAGTGCCAAAAAGCATTCCTCAACTGTTACTATGTCAAGCTTGTAACAACCCTTTCTGGTGCCATACACAACATCGAGATGAAGAACCATTTCACCATGCAAAGAACCCATGCAAATGGTTCTATATAGAACTCTGGTTTCCAATCAGAACCATTCATTTTACTATAGAGCCCTTGAAGAAAGTTTTTTTTTCAAAGTGCACTTTATTAATGAGGAAATGATGTACATATTTGAATGAAGTAAATTCAGTGCCTCGCTTCTCTCAGTGTATTCATGGCACGCTGAAGAAGAGGAAACGCTTGCCTGATCTAAGTGTAGGCACCCGTATGTTGCCCAGAGAAGGTGTGTACACAAGCAGGGGTTCCACATCTGCTTGTATTGACTTCTGAGTCACACTTATCTACGATTAAATCAGAAGTTTGTCGAGGCGTGACCCCGGCTGGAACTCCTCCACCGCTACTGACGCACTCTGCAAACCACTCACACGCGGAGAAAGTGGGGAGGGAAAGCCCAAACTTGTTGTGCGCAGAGTTTTGCTTTAAATGCACGCCCCCGCGCCGTGGACGTGCTCTGGGTCCGTAAAGCCGCGGTCAGGCTGCTGGGCTCTTTAAAGCAGCGCGGATGCGCGCGCGCTGCTCCGAGCCCAGCCGCGCGCTCAGAGCCGTCACTGCCCTGATCTGTGACCGACAACGCGGACCTCATACTCACACACGCAGGAGCAGGAGCAGGAGGGCGAGCGGGGAGGGTGAAAGGGGAAGGGGGGTCACCCCGGAGCGCACGAGGAGTCCGGGACAGTGAGCTGTGCATGCGCTCGGTGTCGCGCACGCCGCTGTCAGACACCTCCTTCAAAAGCCTTTTGTTTTTGATGTGCTTTTCTTTTTTTCCCCTTTTTTTCTTGGTAAATTCAGGACGCAGTGGCCGTCGCGTCCATCCACCTGCCGCTGGCCGCCCCGCGTGCTGCGGACAACTCCACCTGCAAGCTGCAGCTCATCGTCTTCCGCAATGGCAAACTCTTCCCGTGCACGGGCGACTCGTCGAAGCTCGCGGACGACGGCAAGCGCAGGAGCGTCGCCACACCAGTTGCTTTCATCAAATTAGGTAAGAGATAGGAGTGCAGCTGTGACGGGGGGTTAATGCGCCACTTTTGCAGCCACATCAGCTCTGAGCTCTGTCCTCTATGCGTTTTATTTTTTTCTTTTTTTGTTATCATTTTTTTTTTATTTCTCGAGCTGCAGGCTCATCGCAGAATTTAAATGAAGGTATTAAACAGTAGTTTCGTTTCTACGTGTTGCATCATCGAAATGATGTTTTAAATGACGCAATATCTTCATGTTGTATGAGTGGTCAGTGTGGAGTACATGTCCAGCATGTGCGCATGAAGGCCAGTGCAGTGCTCGTGCTCTTAGTGTTTAACGTATTTAACTGACGAGTGAAGCCACACCTTTTATTTGCTGTCGCTTTCATGACATTGACGAGTAAACAAGGCAGAGGAGCCCATTTACCCCACTGCGTTTTTTTTTTTGATTGAGGTCTGTGTCTGTGTGTGTGTGTGTGTGTGTGTGTGTGTGTGTGTGTGCGTGTGTGTTGTGAATGCACTCTCACTATACAGCGGTGTAGCACTTAAGCTCTTTCCGCTCTGCTGGCCCTGATGCAGTGTGTTTCTCCCGTAGATGGGTGCAGCGCGAGGAGCGACGTCCAGCCCGTGACCATCGCCTTCCGGCACTGGGCGCTGGGCGCTGACCCCACCGCAGCCTACTGGGACTTCGACCTGCTGGACGGTCACGGGGGCTGGAGGGCAGAGGGCTGCCACATAACGGCCACTGCGGGCAACACCACCACCATCCACTGCACCCACCACAACAACTTCGCCGTGCTCATGGTGAGTGTGCGCGCGTGCGCTCTCGTGCGTGCGCGTGTGTATGTCTGTTACGCTCCTTTTCCATCTTTTTCACGCTCTTCACTCTGCCGGCGAGGTTAGCTCGTGGCTCGCTCGTTTAAACGCCCCTCTCTTTAGAGAAAGCTGTCACGTGATCTCCATAAGCATGTCATAAGCTCTTAATGCTCGCCGGTGGGGAAAAAAATCCCACTTATTCGCCAAAAGCGTTGCAAAGTCATGCACAGCTGCATCTCGTTAAAGAAGCGAAGCGCGCGCTTGCTCGTAGCGACTATACCCCCCACCTTCCCGCCCCTCCCTCCCAAAAAAACACCCCCACTCATTTTTTTTTACGTTTCATGGGAGAACCCAAATCGCAGCGGCTCTTCAGGAAGCGCGAGCGAGTACGCAGCGGGTCGTTAACAGGCAAAAAGAGCAGCAGCAGAAGCAGCAGCGGCAGCAGAAAAAGCAACAGCAGCAGCGGCGGCAGCAGCATCCCTACTCCTACTCCTCCTCCTCCTCCTCCTTCTCCACCTCCACCTCCACCTCCTCCTCCCGCCAATGCTTCCCACCGCTCTCCGCTCGGACTCGCGGGACTGCGCGCGGCTCCATCTCGAGCGGCGGAGACGGCTTTGATGAGGAGTCGAACGCGAGCGCGCCATGGCAGCGCGCGCCCCGCTCGCCCCGTAGTGCCGCTGCGCCTCGTCCGCCGCCGGGCGACCACCGAGCCCTCCGGATGTTCACCGACGACTGGGACTCCATAGACTGGGAGGTGAGGCTACTGCGCGCGGGTCCCGGCGGTCACTCCTGCTGCGCGCGTGCGGGCTCATACACGCGTCCACGCTGAGGAGGGGAGAATTTGGCGAGGGGCTTTATTTTGGGAACAGACGCTGCTGAAATGGCTTTAGAGAAATAGGAGTTGGGGCGCGATTGTGTGTGTGTTTGTGTGTGTGTGTGTGTCTGTGTGTGTTTGTGTGTGTGCACAGATGGAGGGCAGATGCCAGCTTTTCATTGCTTGGAGCCCTGGCAGGACGTGTGGCTTCATATACATTCTATGAGGAGAGATGTGTGTGTGTGTGTGTGTGTATGTATGTATGTGTGTGTGTGTGTGTGTGTGTGTGTGTCTGTTTCACCTCGTTTAACCAAAGCAAAACCCGAAGAGCTGCAGTTTTAGTAAATGAAAGTGGCAGCAGCTTGGTGGTTTTTGGGGAGCTCGTCCACAGAATGGTGGAAACCGTGCACGCGCCGGTCGAAAAGAAAGCTCTTGAATCGTTCGCTCGTGTGTGTGCGCGCGCGTGTGTGTGTGCAGGATAGTGCGTTTGCTAATGCAGTCACCACACCCGCAGTCCTTCCTCTGCGCAGTGCCCGAGAAAAAAAGAGCTCTTTAAAGGGATTTGTGACATCACGTTATTTTGCTCCTTTTTTGAGCTGTAGTGTTTGGATTTGGCGAGTTTGGGGTCCGGGAACGGGCTGCTGAACCTGTTGCTCGAGCTCATCGCACCACCATCATAACGTCTCTTTATTGTTTTTTTTCCTGTGCTCGACTCGTCAGCGCTCCGTTTATGTGCTCTTCTCTTTCGCTGCATAAAATAATGCATCCTCATGAAAAAGAACCTTTAGCTCATGCAGGGCATTAAAATGGGCTAATTCTGAGAGCCATTCTCTTTGAATCAGAGTCTTAATTTATTGCCTGCTACTAGCTGTTTATTAGCTGTTGTGATGATGGAATATTATAATGTCACATAAAAATCAGCTGTCATATGTGTGTATATATATATATATATATATATATATATATATATATATATATATATATATGTGTGTGTGGTGTGTGTGTGTGTTTATAAGTCTTTTATATGTGAAGGCCACTATAGAGAAATGTGGATGAGGTTTAATATCCAGTGGCCAGCTTTGTATTGGTCATAAAAGTTATAGTAATAGTTAAATAGAGCATTACATCAGCATGTGCATGTCACAGGCCTGTTGCTCACTAAGAAAAGTGGCATATTGCCACTTGCCAGTAGTCTAATTTAGAACACACAGTTCCTTGCACTGATTGTGTGAAAGACGGGTAAATAGGAGCTCTGTCAGGCTCCACTTCCCGATGGGGGTGTGTGTGTGGAGGTGGATGAGGACATATCTTGGTTTTGCTGATGGTCAGTAGAGGAGGCTGATCTCACAGTGTCTAACGCACATTCAGCTATGTCCTTCACCTTGATTACACCCCCACCTACACACAGGCAGAAACCCACATCCAACCCACCCCTCCTCCTGCTGATCACAACCGATAGGAAATGGCTTATTGATTTTAAAATTCTAATCGAGGCAGGAGGTATTGGCAAATGTTTTCTGTTGAGGTAGTTCAGTGTTTGTAGGTCTTACTGTCTTAAGTATAAAGGTTCTTGACTTGGATGTACAGTTCTAGGAAAAACCTATAATGTGGTATAGAACTTTAAAGTTTATGAAGGTTCTTTAAGCTTTAAACGGTTCTTCACTCTTGCAGATTTCGTTTTACAAGTAGAGGTGGGCACTGTGGTGAAATACAGTGTCAGAATACTTAAACAAATTTTCACCATACATGATATGATATGTCATGATTCATTTTTAACATCTAAATTGTTGGAATATGCAAAAAAAAGCCACATTTAAAAACTTTGAGTGCAAATTATTTCTATTTAATGTTTCACATACTGCATAGCACTGGACACATTTAAACAGGACTAATGATGCTCTCTGTAATGTTACATGCAGTTTATCAGTGTGCTTTAAGAACTGACCATATCCACAATAGACTCAGAAAAGCATATCATAATTATATTGTGATGTAATTTTTCACAATACCGATAAATATTGTCATATCGCCCAGCCCTACTTACAAACATGGTTCTCTTAAGAACAATCCCCTGAAGCGTTTCTCTCCAAAAGTGGTTCCTCTCTGGCATCGCTCCATAGAACCCATTTTTGTGGCTTTATTTTTAAGACTGTACTTGGGTTACTAAGGAGTTTGTGTTATTCCCAAGGCCTTTTTATTCACAGTTGGTGAGTCACACGCTGTTGTATTGTGTATGAGCCCATCTGTAATATTTTTGACTCTGCTTTTTTTCACTGGTATACTAGCTCCCTCTTGAAACATCGTAAGATAAAAGCCTTTTCGTTCTCAGCCAATCATATGTAAAATCTCACATGCATCATTAAACTGAGTTTCTTCTTCTGGTGCATGAACACTATTTTTGAGCACATTTCGGATTAGGGTATGCTTCAGCTTAAGGGAAGGTTTTAAACTTTACAGTGCTCTAATTTTAGAACACCACTTTAGTGCTTAGTATCTTCAGTGTGGCAGCCTTTCAGCACCACGGACAGCTCCAGTAAGCCAGGTCTAAAGCCACAGTGCTGCTGGGGGAGGAGGGAGAGAGGGAGAGGAGAGAGAGAGGCTGAGTCACCCTCCTCCAGTGCTCCTGGAGCAGTGTCTGTCTCCATCACCATGACAAGGCCTCACTTTGCATTGTCTCTAATGCCTGATTATTTGTTTCCTCAACTTGTCTTCAGAAAAGAATGCAAGCATTGTGCTTTTAAAGGAACATGGTTCTGTACGGAAAGTCCCAGTCACTCTGCCTGTTGCCCTTTAAAACCTGGCAGTTTGGAGGTGGAGGTTGTGTGTGTAGCACTCTGTCTGATTTATTAACATAGTTGTGACTATATTGTTGTTTGTTAGCCTGTGTTGTAAGCTGTAGGTCTGTATACTGGCAGGTAGTTCCCAGAACATGCATTCTTTTGTAGCTTCTATAGCTTGGATGGCTAAGCTTTACAGAAGGTTGACAAAAAAGCCGTTTATCCCAAAGACAAATTGTAGCTCATGTTAGTTAGAGACGCTATGCTGAGATTCCAGTTTAAAATGGTGTGCTGCTGAGTTGGACCATGTGTGTTGTAGCCAATGGAAACTAAGCAAACTGGAAACCACAACCAGTTTGCAACTATGTTAATGTTAGTTAAATTACATGACAGAAAACTGTATCCAGTCTATCCTTACAGTGTGACCAAAATATTATTTGAAATGAAAGCACTCTAAATGTATGTATTTTTGTGTGTTCATTATGTTGAACAGAACTTTTTACAACATTTTGGCCAAGATTTTCCAACCTTGCAGCAGTTATCTGTGTATGAAGAGTTTTATTCCAAAATGCTGTATATTCATTCGTAACAATTTTAGATATAAGAAGTTTTTAAATAGAATAACAGCTGACACACAATGTAAAACACATTTTTCCTTCTCTAACAACGGTGGTATTAATCATGATATAGCATTTATATTTCATGTACATAACATACTCCTAACAACTTTACAAAACTAATAATTGTAATGCATAAGGGATGATCTAGATGTGGATTCTTTCTATGTCAAATCTTAAAGCTGACCTATGTAAGATTTGGAGACATCTCTGGTGGAAATGTGTAATTGCACACAACATGCGGAAGAACACTTTGTAATGCACTTGTGCTTCAGACACCTTTCCCAAGCAGTTGAATCTGATGATTGTGTGCGCATTGGGAGTATCAAAAGACAATGAGTGAAGGACATGTGAATTCCACTCAAGTGAATTATCTACTATTCATCTATTAATCATCATTTCTTCATCAGTGTGATTTTGCATTTAAGACCTAAACATCAACCCAGGCCTTCTTTTAGAGCCTGTGAATGTGAAGCTAATATGTAAAGACGTATGACATGGTCCGAAAAACTCCTGCAAATCATACACACTCCAATCATGAACACTGACACCGCCGTCACCTCTGACTATTTCAGGCTTTACAGGGTGACTCGCAGCAGTGCAGTTTTTCTTAGCTCCTGACTCAGTTTCAATTTTAACAAAAAACCTTACATAGTGCAGCTTTAAACACTCTGGAGATGACAATGTTTTTAAGTAAAGCTTGCAACTTGAGCAAGGTCTACTCTTGTGCTAATTTAATATTGCTAATATCATAAAACTCATCAGTAGGGTCCAAATTGG